GCATTTGCTAGACAATTGTGAACCTAGTGTTCTGCTTCTAAGATCCCTTCAATCCAGATTCCCTCTTAGGCTCTCAAAAGCTTGAAAATTTGGTGAGTTGATCGACCCGATTGGTAACTGATTTCTTCTACATATTAGTCTGTTACCGAAGACGTGTTCTCGGAGGTTAGTCTAAAACCTTGTTTAAGCAGATCGAATAATATGAAAGATGCCCAGGTTTACATCCTCAACATCATTTCTCTATGTAAATTACTTCTGTGGTGTACCCAAATAGGCTCATATTTCTCTAGTGAGCGAGACCTGTTCATATTCTCGAAAATGCATGATGTATATCTCGAGCTCTCTCTTCGTACGAGGTGCGTTCTTTCGGTAGAATGGCGATCAAGCCTGAACACAATGATTTAAGCTAGACCTTACACTATTCTTGTAGATAGAGACACACTTCGGCTCTCCTACAAGAAACCACAGACCACGGTGGAAGTAGTTGAAGTCTAGCTGCGAGCACTGCAACGACACATCGGGTACTCAAACTAAAGTCTGAAGCCGCCGTAACTCCCAGATAACTGGTGTCATTTACGGTGCATAATTTATTGTCTCCCGACTCTCTGCTTTTATTGCATTGACGGGTACTGAATAACAAATGACTGTTCTCTGCGTTCAGTGGCAAGTCCCTTTAATGAGATCATTTGACCAAATATGCGGTTTTCTAGACTTGTTCTTCTACAAAAATCAACTAACTTCATGCCATCAGCGAAGGAGAAGCATGGTGAACTAGTAAGTTGTGTTAAGGCATTTGTGAACATCATAAAGCGAGATGAATCTATGACCAACCGTCAAAACACGCCACTAGCAAACTGAAAGAATTATAAGAGTTCCATGTAACATTGACGCGGAATTCGTATTTGGCAAGTACGCCATCATCCAGTTAAATAGTGTTCCAATTATTCCATAGCATCCTAATTGGGTGTATCAAATAACATCACTTTTGTAGTTGAAGATGCAATTATTTTTTTGGTTCCCAAAAGTCATCGAAGAAACCTGCTATATCAGCCTCGTGTTTTGACCATAAGAAACCACATTTTTCACCGTTTATCTTCATTCGAACGCGGTTCGTGCATCACTTTAATTTTGTTAATTAATCAACTAATGAGAAAAACGTATGCTTATTTTGGCTATTGCCGGGAGACTGTTTAGTTTCACTCTTTAGGAAAAATATCACACAGCATTACGTATGCCATTCTGGCACCGAAGCAACATAACAGTCATGTGAGTGCATACAAAAAGCTACCAATCATCATCCTGAGCATGTGGAGCATAATATAAAAGCCAACGATAACCAACGTACGTCAGATCACGAAAGATGAAATCAAATATCGTAAAAATATTGTTGATCACGGTGTGTGTTAACGATATCGTTGGTAAGTAATCCAGCCTCCCTGAAACATCTTCGACAACCAGCACAAAATGCACAGGATTGTAAAGAAGTTGTCGCATCGAATGACGTACAGATGTTCACTGTATTAGGCAATGGCACCGGTTGTCAATACCGCGTCAAACCGGATTCCGGCAAAGCGGTGAAGGTGTACGTTAATGTAAGCGAACACAAACTGTTTAAGTCTCTTTGGGACAGTGAAACTGGACCATCGGATATAGGTTCTCGAATTTATCCATTTGTTTGCAGACAACCAGTGGAAGCAAATGTGTGAAGGTGTCCAGTGACGGGAAATCGGAAACGCTGTGTCCATCAGGTGCAGCAAATCAGTTTATATCAAGCTCACCGATTGACGTTAGCGCGGATTCCGACACGACCAGTCCAGATGCATCGACAGAACCAACTGGTACAGTAACAGACCCGAGCACAACACCTACGGATGCAGCTCCGAATAAGCCATCATCGGATGCAGAGGGAAAAAAACCGCCTGCAAAGCCAACTGCACCGGAAACAGAAGCTTCTGGTCAAAAAAGCCAACCATCACAGACTGGTGCACAAAAGGACGAGCAAGTAGAACACAGTAACCAAGATGAACAATCAAATGATGTAAAAGATGCTCTCAGCCCTGTGATCTTAAGGAAAGTCAGGGACAATTCCGGAACAGCTGGATCAAACGACGTAATTGTGTTCTATCTATTAGGTGAGTATTGGAGAATAGCGAATGAGTTGTACGTATCATCCAAAGCAGAAGTTTTACAATTGCTTGAAAGACTGCATCTCAGTTTTCATCCGTTTTTTCGTAATCCTACTGAATGTACCTGTTAACATTCAATCCTGTTCCCTCTATTCGATTCCAGACGGTGTATCAACTTCCAATCCTCCAGTGCTCCTGATTATTGGACTTGTTGCATCTCTCATTAAATACAGTTCATACTGAGTAGCAAAATGTAGGTAATTTGGTCGATTGATGGTGTATTATATTTCTTCACGTATTTCGTTTGCATGGTCAATACAAATAATAAAACAGATGTATTTACTTTGCAGAAACAAGAAAATCCCATACAATTAGCACGTAACTACAATTAATTGAAATACGTTATGGAGTGCCCAAATAAACTTTCCTGATCTCTCAAAACATCCTTTCGATTTACTGCTATTTCAATGACCTTGTGTTCGTTCTTGGAGCCCAATACCAATCTCTCCGCATAATTAGGCTGCAAATCGTCAAAAGGAAACGGTTACATGTAATCATGAAATAGCTTCCATATTGCAAGGAAACATTGTTGGATATCGGTATCGGTTATCGAACGTAACCTACAATTGGGATTGATCAGACTCAATGGGACTAATACTGGATATTCCTCATGGCAAACAGGTATAGTTGAAATATATTCAAATGATGAACTGGGTACTTCTTGTTAAAAATGAACCGCAGGAATACGGGGGTTCAAGCCA